CACATCCTTTTTGAAGGGATTCTTGTAGAGAAAGACAACTATGTACACTTACAAGTACTCGTTTTAACAGCAAAAAGCCACAATTCAGAAATGCTAACATTCAGCTTTTACAATTCTGGTTCCAGGAATTCCCTTTTAAATGAGAGAATCCACTCAGGACCATTTCCAGACTATTTTTAAATCTATAGATATGATTCTGCAATGTCACTTAGGCGCACTAATCCCATATACAGCTATGTAGTGGCACTTAACAAGAGACTGGTTGCAGGATTCCACATGTCCCTCACTTTAAAAGGTGTAATATCTATATGCAAACTATATTCACCCTCCTATATACATCAAGTCACCTTTAGATCACTTAATATTAAATACACTGGAAATGCTATGTAAATTAAACATACTGTTTAGAGAATAATTACAAGAATGTTTATGTTTAGAAACATGCAATGTAAAAATACTTATCCAAGATTACTTAAATCAAGAGGTGGAAAACTATTTTTCAAGAGGGCTGTTGTGAAAAGCACAAATAAAAGGTCAATACAGTATAGGGGTCTTTTGTAGTTGTTTTTTGAGACAGGGTTTGTCTGTGGAGCCCTGGATGTCCTGGAACTCATTCTGTGGATCAGGCTGGCCTCTGCCTCCCTAGGGCTGAGATTAAAGTTGTGTACCACCACTGCCCACTACCAGGAAAGTATAGTTTTTATTATTTACTTTCTTCTATTTATCCAGAAGAACTTTAGTTTCATGATTTTCAAATTATTATCTGCCACAAAATTCAGATCCTAAACATTAATACTACACACACTTGAATCAATGGGTTCCAAATGAAAACATTAAGACTTATGAACTCAGCCAGGTATGGTAGCACACACCTTTAGTCCCAGCACTTGGGAGGCAGAGGAAGCAGATCTCAAATGAGTTCAAGGCCAACTTGATCTACAAAAATGAGTTCCAGGCAGCCAGGATTGTTATACAGAGAAACCCTATCATGAAAAACCAAAACCAAAACCAAACCAAACCAAACCAAAACAAAACAAAAAAGCCAAAAATTATGAAAACTCAAGTTCCCTCTTCATCAACTCAAAGAATCCTTAAAACATCTCTATTAAAAACACCGTATTGATCTCTGAGTTCAAGGCTAGCCTGGTCTATAGAGTTCTAGGACAACCTAGAGAAACCTTGAGGGTAGGGAGGATGACAAAGAGATAGGGGACAGACAGTTTCTACAGTCCAATCCATTCACTTCTATTTTATGTGTGAATGCTTTGTCTACATGTATGTCTGCCACAGCTGGTAGAGGCCAGAAAGTTTCAGATTCCCTAAAAATGGAGTAACTGATGGTTATGAGCTGATATGTTGGTACTGGGAACAAAATCTCAGTTCTTTGCTTCAAGAACAGTAAATGTTCTTAACTAGAGACATCTCTCTAGCCCCCACAGTCCAATTTATCAACATACATAAACTTGTACTTCTCGGTTCCTTATAAAAACTGTCAAGTCCTATTATGTTTTAGGTAAAAGTATATAGATCATTGCATACAATATTTTCTCTAGCTTTTCCTAACTGCCTTGGGGGAGAAACCCAGAGTCTAGGCAGTATATAGACAGGTAATATATAAAGGTTAAAATCATTAAAATGTGTATGTTCTACAAACTCAGAAAGATGTATAATATTGTTACTTGTAGGGTTGGAGAGATGGCTCAGTGGTTAAGAGCACTCGCTGCCCTTCCAGATGACCCCTGATCAATTCCCAGCACCCACATAGCCACTCACACCTGTCTGTAACTCAGTTCCAGGCAATCTGACACCATCACACCAATGCACATAAAATAAAAATAAATTATTAAAACATATATTGTTACTTGTAGCCAGGTATGGTGGCGCATGCCTTTATTCCCAGCACTGGGGGCCAGGCTGGTCTACATAGTGAGTTACAGTCCAGCCAAGGCTATGTAGTAAGACCCCTGACTCAAAACACAAACAATACGTTTTTTAAAATATAACTTAAATAACACTGAGTACATTAAACATTAGGAAACTTGAAGAAGAGACTATAACCCCCTTTTCTTTCGCTATACATTAAACAAGCTTCTTATATGAGAATGGCTAAACAACACACCAGAAAAGAAATACACCTTGCTAAGAATAGCAGCATGATACATGAGGCAATGGGATTTTTAAATATTTTTGTTATCTAAACACAGGACAATGTATGACAACACATACAAAGAAATCTTTTGCTAATTACTTCATGTTGCCTGTTCCCCCTTTCCCAAGACCCATCCCCACATGTCCCAAGGCCAAGACTTACTTTATCTTTTTGTGTTAACTATTCACAAAATTCTGCTTGAGCTGATTTTTTGTTTAAGACTCTTCTCACTTGATTAAGGACTTACAATATTCAAGTTTATTACTCAAACAACAGATGATCATTTAGAAGGAATATCAAATGTAGTATCAAAAAGTATTTTTGTATCAGTATAGACTAAGTTTAGGGCAATCCAGTTTTTAGCTTAAAATTATGTATAAAGAAAATAATTTTGGTTAACCCACAATCAACAATACATTCTATTGGTCATACAGTAAACAGTCAAGATGTGGTCTAAAAATTAAAAGGATGTAGGCATTTAGTATCCACTTAGCAATATTTACCAGTTGACTAAAAGTTGTTATACTTTTTTTGGGGGGAGGGGGAATGGGTATCACAAATTTCTAAACAGTTTAATAAGGCAAAAAATAAACAACACTCAGCTTGAACCAACCAAAAAAATTACACACATACAATATATTCTTATAATGCCCATCATATCCAACTACTGAGGGTCCTAGCTTCTTCAAACATGCTATCTCCATAGGACATAGGATAACATAGGATGTCCATCCTCCTAGTTCTCCCAGGAGTCAGTTAGTTCTTCCAGGCTTCCCAATAGACAAAGACCAGTGAGGGTCACCACAGGAAGCTTCCCTAAAGCACAAACCACAAACTTCATGTTCTCTTAAATAGAACAGAGCCCAGAAAGAAAAATAAACTTAAGAATGCTCAAATATCTAAGTGGCTGGCACACATCAGGCACGTATTCATTAAAGGTATGTGTAACCGCCACAGAAAGTCAAGAGAACAAAAAAAAAAAAAAAAAAAAAAAAAATTCAATAAATGGACATGTGATGATATAATTTACCCCCCTTAGTTTCATTGATTCAGAACCCGAGACTCCAAAGGTTAGAGGGCTTGTCCATGGACACAGCTATTTCAGAGCACAGCCATTCCTACATGATTCTGGCAGGGCTGAATTCCTTTCAACAGGTTATACTATAATTATGGTTCATCACTTCATACTGAAATATAGTTATCCAATCTATGTGAAAATACAGAGCTTCAAGCCCTGCAAGAAGCAACTTGATGCTTCTCAAACATATATAAAGGTAACTGATGTGGAACGTTATCCATCTTAATATTTTATACCACCATCATAATTATTCTCCAGATGTGTCTAGTATTAAAAACGTTTGAAGCAACTTGAACATGTAGTTCGTTATAATTGCAATGCATTACTGCTGTAAGCTTCCGGGTCAACGGCAGTCATCCCAACATAGTTGGACGTTAATGTATATACCTATACATTATATATATACCTATATATTATATATAGGTATTAGATAGATAGATAGATAGATAGATAGATAGATAGATAGATATTAGGCAAGTGAGAGAACGTAGGGTGGGACTCTTGCATCATTTGAGAGGCCCTGGGCTAGATCTATGCCCAACAATGTAAAACCAAACATAAGAAAAGAACTGTAACATAGGAAAATGATGTGATTTTTGTGCTTCAAACTATTAAATGGTAAAGCAGACATTAAACCAATAAAGGCAGTATCTAAGATTTAAAAATAAGGGGTGAAGCTGCTCACTATCTTCCTTGTCTCAAGATTCTTCATCGTCTCTAACTACAGAAATAATCTTTGGAAAAGGCCCAGAAATATAAAAGAGAAAAAAGTGTGGAAATGAAGTGTTCTGTCTGGTTAAAGAGAGTCTGGGACCAAGCACTACTGGACTATGGAACCCTAATGCCCAGAAGAGAACAGTTTAAATTCTATACTCCTTAGAGAGGGCTTCTCCATCGAGAAAGTGGTCGTGTTTGAAATCTGAAAGAGTGCTTTTCTTCTCATAAATGTTGAAAATTACTAATCTCCATAACGTCAAAATTATTTATTCTTCTCAAACAATGCCATTCTCCTATACTCTTAACCACGTTTAAAAATACATCAGGGGCATTATCCCAACTAGCAGGAAACTTGGGGTGGGGGTGGCACTGTAGGTTGCTTTGACTCTGACCTTTGTGGACTTCTAAGGACCATGTGGTGCTTGAGAAAAAAGAAAAATAACTTCGGATGGTGAAATTTGTAAAACATCTAAAACTCCAGTTGGCAGAAGGCTCTCCACAGCCAGCTGTCTTTCAAGAAAAGGATCCCGAGTGTATTTACAACCTACAAGCAGAAGGGAGCCGCGCCTCAACTAAACTCTAACATAAAGAACTTTACTCCAGTAGACACAGCCAAAATGATGCAAAACCTGTAGTCGTCTTCAATGGGTTTGCTCGAAGCCGGAATAATGAATGAACTGGAGCCATCACGGCCGAGTTAGGGGCCTCACTTTCGGCCCAGCGGCACCGTCTCCAAATCGTGGGGACTCGCGGGCTGGTCTGCTCCAAGGGGCGGCCCCGCTTCGGGCTCCCCGAAAGTTCCGGGGCCGCTGGGGTCCGCCCCGCCCGGCCGAGGGTCGCGCCCCCTCCCCGCCGCCGCGCACGGCCCGCCCCCACCCCCGCCGCGCGTTAACCCCTCGCCGCCCGCCGCGGGCTCCGGGAGGAGGCCGCCCAGGGGGTGGAGTTGTCGCGTCTCCTCCCGGGAGCGCCCGGGCAAACGCCCGGCTTGTTTACAGGCCCCAGGCCTGGCCGCTGCGCAGGCCCGCCCGCCCGCCCTCGCCCGAACGACGCGCTTACCCGGAGCAGCCGCGGGCGGGCGGGTCCCTTGGTCGGCCGGGGAGGCGGCGGCGACGGCGGCCGGACACGGGGTCCCACAGCGGCGGCCGGGCCCGGGCGAAGGAGGGGAGGAGCCGGGCTGGGTCCGGGCCCCCGGCTCTCGGAGCCCTCGCGGCTCAGATCATCCGGGCGTTGGAGCGGGAGGCAGAGAGCGGGGCCCGCGGGAGGCGGAGGAGGCGCCGAGGACTCATCGCTTGCCGCCCCACCTGCCTGGGCCCCCCTCCCCCCGCCCCAGCCACCCGATCCCGAGCTGCGGACCCGGCCGGCGCGGAGACCACGGCGTTCTGGCTCCTGCGCGCGCTCCCGCCCCTCGCGCCACCGCTGCCTCTAGCGCGGACCCGCGCACGCGCGCTCTCGACGGCGCCGCCCCTCCCCCGGCCCGGCCCCGCCCCGCGCCGCCAGCTCCCCCGCCCTGCAGCTGCGGCGCGGCTCAGAGGCTGCAGAGACCCGGATGTGGGAGGGCCGGAACTGCGGCGGGGGCGGGGGAGGGGGAGTGCGGTGACGTCACTGCCCTGCGCTGCTGCTTAGCGGGCCGGTGTGGGGCGGCCGGCGCCGGGGGCCTGGTCTCTAGGGAGCCTGGGAGCCCTGGGTGGGAGCCAGGCGCCCGGCCTCCGCGCTGGGGCGCTGAGGCCCCCTCCAAGCCTGACCGTCGGCGTGCACACTGCCTCTTGCCGCAGCTTACAGACGCAGATGTCCTGGGCAGTCGCGGTTAGGGCCCGGCGTGGGCGAGTCAGCCTTTCCTCTGCGACCCCAGGAGCCGCACACGCACGCCATATTACATACGTGTGTGTGTGTGTGTGTGTGTGTGTGTGTAAGCAGGTCATGCCTTGGGACACGTGCCTAGAGCTTCTGGCAGGTTATCCCTCTGTCGCTCCAGAGATTTAGACTTGTACTTATGTGCGCGTTACACGGTCACGTGATTTCGGCTTTGCCAAAGACCTCGGTTAACGTTACCGAGGGTTTTTCAAAATCTAAAGGACAATCAACAACGTGATAGCTGCTTCCATGAAGAGCTAGAGATGAGCTAAAGGTAGTTGAAACTGCACGTGCAGACGGCCAAAATCCAGTTTGGCTAGCTAGACCACAGAAAACCCTACCCACGCTGCTTGTAGACGCCGGGGGATAGAATGACAAACCCTAGGCAGCCAATGAATCAGAGCTGGAAAGCAGTACATCACCAGTTTGAGTTCCCATTGGCTGGGATGCCTTCCCAGCTTCTCAGTCACCAGTTTAACCCCTACACACCAAATTCACAGGAACAGAAGTTTAAGAGAGATTCTGGCATAATACAAAGGAAAACCAAATATTTCGTTGAAATAAGCTAGTACTTTAAAAAGAATACTAAAACTATTGAGTACTGGCCAATAAGAAGATGAGTTGTGTTGAGGCCTGCCCTTTTTCTTCCTGGTGCTTACTGCTGCAATTTGCACCCTGTTACTTTGTGTCTCCTAAAATTATTGTCTTAACTGTTAGATCAAATACAAACTGCTCTTCACTGTCATTCAGCAAACTATTTCTCTACTTTGGAAATTGTGAAAAACTATTTCCAAATGTTTTCAGCATGACTTTTGGGAGAAGATTCTGTTTCCTTCATTTTTATACCTGATGCCTAACAGCAATGACTGCCAGTTCTGGCAGACCATATCTTCACTGAACCTCCAAATCTCAACACCTTGGCAGTAAGGCGAAATGTAACATTTCCAGATAACTCGCTATGCAGTTCTTCATTTTTAAATGTGATGAAAGTAAATGAAATTAGATAAAGAATCATTTAACAAAATGTTGCCTTGTTGAATTGATTATATATTATCATAAACAATACATATTAATGTATTTATTTAGGTTTTCTTGTTAAATGGTGATGCTGGGAATTGGAACCAGGGTCCTTTGCTCGTTAGTCATGTAGTCAGCCATTTAACTCTGTCCTCAGCCCTGCCTAGGGTTTTTGTTGTTGGGGGGTGTGTGTGTGTGTGTGTGTGTGTGTGTGTGTGTGTGTGTGTGTGTGTTTCAGTACAGAGTCTTAGATACCTCAGACTGATCTTGAATTCTATGAAACTGAAGATGACTTTAAACTCATCCTCCCTACTCCTGGGTGCACCACCACACCTGCCTAGAGTGCTCTTAAGCAATACATTTTCTTGTTGAAAGAGAAGCTGAGTCATCTGTATGTGCTATAAAGAATTGGGAGGTTTTTGTCAGCCTTCTTTTAGGCTTCATTCCTGAAGCCTCTCTGTTCTATCTTTGTAAGAAAGCCTGGCTAAGAGAAGAGGTAGAAAAAAAAATAAAAGTAAAATCAAAAGATTTTTCAGGATTCCTCCCAGTGTGTCACAGCCAGCCAGTCAGCTATGCCTGTGAAGTCTCACTTTTGGACACAATTTGTAGGAATAGTTTCAAAGGAATGAGGAAACTTGTGGAATATAAAGCTAACATTTAACACTTGGGATACAAGATATTAGTATTGTTTAACTAACGTTGATTATGATATGCCCTTATCTATTAAATGCCTTTGTTGTTTGAAACGGGGTCTCTCTGTATAGCCTTGGCTGTCTTTGGAACTCACTGTGTGGAAGAGGCTGGCACTCAGTACTCTTTCCCTTTCCTCTACAATCCTGGCTTTAAAAGAAGGAAAAGTATATGGGGAGTGGTGGTGGTGGTTTACATTCCGTATTCCATAACTATTGTGGATGCATCCGGAGACTCAGACCCCAGATGGTGTCACCTGGGCCTCTCCAAGTGCTTCTCAGGCATGTGACCCTCCACTGTGTCCGAGGGCCCCCACCCCAGCCAGCCAACCATCTTCCCACAGCAAGCACTACCCAAGCCAGTGTGCCAGGGGCCCAGGGGCCCAGCTCTCCCTTCCTCTGCCTGCTTCTCTACCTGGTCTGTGCTTCTCTCTCTCCCAGAGCCACTTGAGTCCTCTTGTCGGCTTCCTTCTCATCTCTCTTCTCCCTTTCTTCAGTCCGCTTTTTATCTCATCTCCCTTTCTTGCCCTCATGTTTTTCTTCCTTGATTTGAATAGCTTAATCCAAAAACGTAGTCTCTGTTATCCATTTTCTCCTGAACTTGAACATAGTTAGTCTTAAACTAATTTCATTCAGGGGTGGGGTACCCCACCCCATCCCCTCCCTCCCTCTCCCCCCTCACCATATATGTTAATGAAAAACAGCTGTTTACAGGGCCGTGGAAGAATGAGAAGGGATAGAAAACCCTTCCCTGTGTGACGTCACCACGGGGGGGGGAGCAGGGGAGCAGAAGGGAGCCAGCCATCTTTTGTTGTCTCTGCATCTCCTCCTGGTCCCCGAGAGAAATGTGAACAACAGCCAACACTATTAGCTGAGTCCTAGCATGGAGTTTCTTCCTTCAAGCCCCAGCATGTGGCTATGCCTAACACTGGCTCTTAGCAGATAAGTGCCTCTGCTTGACAGTTAGTCATTGTGTGCCAGGCACTGGGACACTACCCCCACAGAACTAGCCTTATAAAGAGGGACATTCACAAAGAAGCGAGTGAATAAAATTAGGTGCTGTGAAGGGGACAAATGGGACAGTGAAGGAGGTGACTTGAACCCAGATGTTTGGACTAAGAAGTTAATAAAGAATTGGTGGGGGCACTTTTCAGGCAGAGGTAACTGTGCATGTATGGTGTATGTGTATCTATGTGTGTGTGGGTGTCCGTCAACATGCATGTGTGGAAGCCAGAGGTGGAGATCCAGTGTCTTCCTCTATCTACTCAGGTCTGTCACTGAGGTTGGAGTTGCAATTTCAGTTAGACTGAGTGGCCATCGAGGTTCCTGTCTCCCTCTCCTCTACACTACAGACGCACACCACCACACTTGGCTTTTTTGTTGGTTGATTTTTGTTCTGTTTTTGGTTTTTTGAGATGGGGTTCTCTGTGTTACAGCTCTGGATATCCTGGAACTCACTCTGTAGACCGGGCTGTCCTCGAACTCCAGATATCTGCCTGCCTCTGCCTCCCGAGTTCTGGGATTAAAGGTGTGTGCTGCCACCCGACTCCTCCTCACACTTATCACAGCAAGCATTTTACAGACTGAGCCATTTCCCCAGCCCCAGGGGAACCATTTTTAATTAGTAAATCCTAGCAAGTTTTAAGGGGACACCTCAGAAACAGTTCACCTTGGTGTTTCTCGGCTATTCCTGGCATTGTGGGAGATCCTGAGCTAAACCACACACTTGAAAGTAAAGTGGCAACAGTTTTGCATTTTAATAATGACAGCTTGGTTGGAAACTAATAATGAAATAAAATGGCCATCACTATTAGGCCTTTTATCAGTACAATCATAGAGACCTGTGACTTAATCCTGTCAACTAGCTGTGTGTTGGGGCAGCCCAAGGACTCTAAGTGAGGCAGCAATTACTCAGGGTCACAGGAAGTGATGGCTGGTACCCTGAACTTTTTCCAGGGGATAATGCCCCCTAGCCTGTGCCTGACAGTAATACAGAGAGCAGAGAGAGGATGAGAGCTCAGTGTTCTTACACCCAGACCATGCTGTGTGCCGACGGCTACACCTTGGGTACTCAGTTAACTTAGAGAAGTTTTGAGAGCTGTTGCTAAATATAGCTACTATTAAAAATTAACTAACGCCAGGTGTGATGGCGCATGCTTTTTAATCCCAGCAGAGGCAGAAGCATGTGGATCTCAGTGATTTTGAAGCCATTCTGGTCTACAAATCAAGTTCCAGTACAGCCTGTCTTGAAAAACATAAATAAATAAATAAATGGATGGGAGAGATGACTCGGTTGTTAAGAGCACCAGATGCTCTTCCAGAGTCATTTAAGTAAGTCATTTAAATTAACACCAGTTTCTTCCTTCACAAAATGGTTCCTCCAAGGCTAAAAGGGTTAAAGGAGATCAGGTCCTCTGGAAAATATGATTGACATTGGCTGCACCCACTACAAACAACTTCCTTCCCGTTGGTAGTCCCTTCTCTCCTCCCTTGTATCTTAGACCAGAGTACAGCCAGCCAGAGTACAGCTATGCACTTTTTTTTTTTTTTTGGCTTTTTTGAGACAGGTTTTATCTGTGTAGTTTTGGAGCTTCTCCTGGTGCTCTCTCTGTAGACCAGCCTGACCTCGGACTCACAAAGATTCACCTGCCTCTGTCTCCTGAGTGCTGGGACTAAAGGCATGTGTCACCATTGCCTGGCAGTCATGCCCCTCTTAATGATGGGAGATGTTTTGAAAACTGTTAGGCATTT